GCCCCGTTGCCAGGAGGCGGAACCTGGACACAATGGGGTCTGAGAGCCGGGCCGGGAGGGGGCAGGCATCCGGGCACTCCACCTTGCCTTCCCCGCCGGGAGCCACGAGAGCAGGTTAGTGCATCAACTCTGGAGCCCCCTCTGGGCACCAGGTTCCCCACGTCGCCTCCTCGCCCCAGTGTCTTGGCCGGATGCCCCTAAAATATCCCAGCCCCCCAGAACCCCAGGGAATTCCTTCCCCCCCAGGATTGAGTCCAAACTTGGCGCGCTCACACACCCCTATTGGACTCACTTTGGGGGCTTGAAGCTCCGGCCCGGCCCCCCGCCGCCCCCCGCCGAGCCGGGAAAGCTCCGGTTTGTTTTCCCGGCGCCCGGGATACAGGATGGGCCCCACCCCCGGAGTCGGGAGGAGCTGGAGCGGAGAAGCGCGTTCGGCGCGAGTCCTGGGTGGAGGGGCCGGGGCCGCCACCTTCTGTCCACAGGTGCCGCGGGCCGTAAGCTCACCCCACCCTCGCGCGCCATGGGCTCGGACGTCTGGGTCGGCCCTTGGCGGCCGCACCGGCCCCGCGGCCCCATCGCAGCGCTCTACAGAGGCCCGGGGCCCAAGTACATGCTGCCACCGAACACCGGTACCGGCGTCGGGCGGGGGGTGGAGGGGCTACCGAGGCCTGTGCCGGCAAGGGGACGCCGTAACCCGGCTGCAGGGCGGAAGGGAGGGAAGTCTGTTGGAGGGAGGGATACGGTGCACTGTGCCAGGGGCGGGGAGCAGCGGGGGCCCGCGGTGACGCTGGGACGCTCCTTCAGGCTACATCCTGCACGACCCGTCGCGGCCCCGCGCCCCGGCGTTCTCCTTCGGCGCGCGCCTCCCCACGCAGCAGACTTCGTGCGGCCCCGGGCCCGGCCACCTGATTCCAGCTCGTATGACCGTGCGCGGCCCCGACGGCACCCCCGCCTACTCCATCTACGGCCGTCCGCGCCACGCAGCGCCCTTCCTCACTCCGGGACCCGGTCAGGACCCCTGGGACCCCGGGCTCCCCAGGGCAGAGCCGCCTCCGGGAAGGCCCACCCGGGAACCCCCTACCTGTGCCCCGACGCCCCCTCCCCGTGTACCCTAACACTCCAAAATCGGTACCTCCACATCTGGATCTCAACCCCAAGCCCCACCGGGCTTTGACAAACCGTGGCTCGGATTCACCTCAGTCCCAGGACCCCCAACCCGGGTCCCCACCAGGCCCCCAACCCGGTCCCGGTCCCGGCCCACACCCCCGGTCCGCCCCGCAGGCAGGTACTTCCCAGAACGAGCTGGGAACGCGACGTACCCCAGTGCGCCTCGGCACACCATCGCCCCCCGAAACTGGGGCATCCACGCGGAGCCGCAGACCCCAGGTGAGACCAGAAAGGCCTATTCCAGCACCGTGGACCTTCCTATCCCTGACGGGGAACCACTCTCCAGGCTGCGGCGGGGAGACCCTGGCCTGGCCAGGAAGACTCGCCCCCGCCCCAGACCC